TGATACTATCCATGAAATAATTTGTTAATTAGATTTTATTAAATATTGAACCTACTTTGATTAATTTTTGATATATTTTTTAACAGTTACACATTTTTATAATTAGAAAATTATAACTATTTTAATAAAAGTAATAATAATAGGAATAATTTTTAAATTGAATTTTATTAATTATATACTTGTAAAGTGTGCTAAAAATTCTACAATATATTACACGTTATAATTTTTTAATGAAATTAAATTTATTTTACATTATTATTATTGTTAAATAATAATCAACAAAAATGTTCTGGCTCGAGTAATTTTACAATACAATACATTACACAATATAATATACTCTCATTAATAATGATAATTATTATTGGACAGATCTTTTCAATACAACAAAATTTAAACAATACTAAAATTAATAATATAAATGTAATTAAAAAATCAATTAAGTATATAATAAAGCAATTAATAAATTAACAAGCGCAATAATATCTTAAACTTGTATAATCTAGAATATAATACAGTATTAACTTGGTAAATATATGTACATGGTTGTTTCTAATTAGTAATTACTCTTGATTATGATATTATACAATTAAAATGAGTTAAAAACAGAAAATAATAATAATAATAATTAGTATATAACCAAGATTGTATAATTTCATACACAGACTAATCCATATAATTCTTATGCATTTTAGGACACTCTCGGTTACACTGAGGCCACTGGCAATCATCGACGAGCCAATGGTGGCACTGATTGCTATGCGCTCGCAGTCGGTGCTCGTTATGGTGCGAGTGATGGTAACTATTGTGAGACTTGTGACCACCACTACTACTGCCGGTACCGCCACTACTCTTACCGCCGGTACTGTTGTTATTACTACTGTTGGTGTCGTTGAGCACAATCTGCTCGCGTTTAGTCTTATGCCGGCGTCGCATATGTTTACGGCGTTTGTGTTTTTTCTTTTGCTGCTGTTTTGTGTAGTGTTGCTGAGCGGCGAGTGGCCAGTCGTTTAGGGGCACCGTCTGTGCGCCGCCGAGTGTGCCATTGGTCACCGTTGCCGGCGGTGAATGTCTATTGATCACAGTATAGGGGCCGCCAACGGGTGACGGGCTGTATGTGCTAGTAGTGGGTTGTGTTGGCCCGGAACAGGTTTGCTCCCAACACCGGATGGCGTCCGGCAGTCGCACCCCATTGATGGCGATTGTCCTCCAATCGGGTTTTGTCAACACTATGAGTCAACACAACTCGGGCTGAATACGGCTGACACGTTCTCGAGGGATGCCCTGAGCTGTCGGCCCAAACTGTGGGTATACTTGAATTGGTGTTGAGAATGGGTTAACGATACGCCGTCCAAATGCATCTGTGCCTCGGAGTACAGCCACTGGAACATGAATAGGGGTGTGCGCAGTGTTGGGTACAGACGGTACCCGAATAGACACTTCCACGGCTCGCGCGTGTATTGTGCGGCGCACGCGGCCAGCACTCGACTGTTCCACATTCTGTATCATGGTAAAAAATATTTAAAAATTACATATAATTCAATAGTAAATCTTAATCCATTAAATGTAAACTATGTTTAATCATTATTATTTAAAACACAGTATAAAATTTTGCGACAGTTGTAACTGGTATTACTCTTATTATTATATATAAAATTTTGATAATAATAATTATTAATTATAAACAACTAATGGATAGTGATGCCAATAGAAATGAGTACATATTTAATGTCATAATAAAACATAATCTAGATAATTTATTACAGTTTAACTAATTATTTTAATTTAATTAAATAACTATTCACACATTAACTTAAACCAAATTGAACATTATTTAACTGGTTAATAAAGTTATTAATCTTATTTCTATATAATCTTCACTATGTTATAATGCTTTGTTTATAATTTGTTTAAATTAATTTATACCATGATTAAAAACAACTCACTTGAAAGCAGTCCTAATGCTGTCGATTGGGGCGCAATTGATAGCATCAACGCATGGCTTAGCAATAATTGATGTTATGATTATTATTGACACCAGTATTGGCGGCACCGATAGGGGCGCTATTGGGCGACACAATCGGCTTGTTATCCATTATCCAACCCGAGTCGGCGATACCCTTCACCTGTGCCGGTAAGCCTACACTTGTCAATAGGCTGGCAATGAGATCCAGGTTAATCATCACACCGGCAGCGCCGGCAGATGACCCAGCTAGTATTAGAAGTTTGGCATCGGTTAGACCTCGGGGTAGGAGCTCTCGGATCACGTGCTCGACAATACGTGAGCCCAGGAATAAAAAATCGCCCGGCGCTCGAGCGGCGCTATCGCCCGACCAGATGTGTGACGAACAGTACGGCACGTATACGTGCGATGCGTTCCAGTAGTACGGGTTCTCGTCACGCGATGACGACAGTATATAGAA